AAACGCTTTAAAAGTGATGATTTCGATGTGAAAGCCAAAGAACATCCAGGTCAACCAAAAAAGTTTGAAGACCAACAATTACAAGCATTATTGGATGAAGATGTGTGTCAAACTCAAAAACAACTTGCAGAAAGATTAAACGTTGCTCAGCAAACAGTTTCCGATTGTTTACAAGCAATGGAAAAGATTTTAAAGGAAGGAAAATGGGTGCCATATCAACTGAATGAAAGACAAATGGAAAACCGAAAAGTCATCAGTAAAATGTTGCTTCAATGGCACGAAAGAAATCATCGAATTGTGACTGGCAATGAAAAGTGGATTTATTTTGAGAATCCCAAATGCACAAAACATGGGTTGATCCAGGTCAACCATCAACATCGACTGCAAGGCCAAATCGCTTCAGAAGGAAGACAATGCTCTGTGTTTGGTGGGATCAGGAAGGTGTGGCGTATTATGAGCTTCTAAAACCAGGTGAAACCATTAATACTGATTGCTACTGATAATCAATTTGAACCATGCTTTGATCTTGAAATGGCCAGAATGTGCCAGAAGACACGGCAAAGTAATTTTGCTTAATGATAATGCACCAACTCCAAAACCAGTTAAAGACACATTAAAAGATCTTGCCTGGGAAGTATTAACTAACCTGCCATATTCACCAGACCTTGCTCCTTCAGATTACCACTTGTTCTGATCAATGGCACATGCACTTTCTGAGCAGCACTTCAAAACATACAAAGAAGAAGTGGAAAATTGGGTCTCTGAATGGTTTACGTCAAAACAAAAGTTCTCTTGGGACGGTATCCACAAATTACATAAAAATGCGGGAAATGTGTAGCTAGCGATAGACATTACTTTGAATAAAGCACTTTTAATGTTTCTCTTAAAATTATTGTGCTTTCTTTGATTACAAACTCCACATTATTAACTGGTACACCTAGTATATGATCAAAAATAGATAACCATTTCATTGCAATATATTACGTTTTTTAATTATAGTGTCCTGTCTTTTATTTTTCTCTCTCTATTCATACATGGGGAACTCTACTCTTGGCTTAAGATCAATTCTAGAAAATGTTGCCATATGATTCATGGAGATGTATATGCAACTCTTTAAGCTTCTCTTTTATGAACTTTCAAGAGCTACTTTAGATTATACTCTTGTAATAACATGGCAAAATAATATAATGAAGTTACTTGTGAAATTCTCAGGTAGTCATTCATTCAACAAATGTTTGTCAGACATATCATACACACTTTCACAAAAGCTTTAACTCCGTAAGGTATCAATGTGCCCAAAACTTAATCTATGCATGTTGAAAAGAATAAATTCTGATGTAACATAAGTGTTTTTTAAATGATCACAGAATATTTGGCTATAATTTTAACTCTCTCCAGACATGGGTGATAGCTTTTCTATCTCTAATATAGGGACAACCTAACAGATGCTGAGAATGGTAACATTCAACTGCAAGCACAGCGTGCATTTACCACCAGGCGGCAGATATCTGAGGAAACAGAAAGTGTTGACAACCGAGAGTCTTCCGAGGTAGAAATAACGTTCTTTTTCTCGTAGACACATGTTATAGCAACAGATTAAAGTATGTGTGGCTTAAGCTTATTCTGTTCATTTTAGAATTGGGAAATTATAAGAGAAGATGAAGGCATCTTGTATAGCGATCGGGCCTTCTCATCACCTCCACCATCAAGCAACTCGGATGTTCAGACTCACCTTGCAGAAGAATTGAATGCCTTACTTACTGTTAGTGGAAATTCAGCCGCTGGCCAGCCAGTATCCAGCTCAGTAAGATGCTCTCAGATTTTGTTGTAGCGTCAGGATTTTATATTATACATATTTGTCCATTCAGTATCTAACTTTTACATAACATTTTGTCTTTTCCCAGTTTTATTGAGATATAATTGACATATAACATTATGTTAGTTCAATGTGTACAGCATAATGATTTGATATATGTATATATTGCAAAATGATCACCATAGTAATTTAGTTAACCTTCATCACCTCACATGTTTACGAACATTTTTTTTCTTGTGATAACAACTTTGTCTAAATGGCATGCAGCAATGTGTTAGGGACTTTGGGACTTTACAGTGTGATCATTTTTCCAAATAGACCCACTCATGGTATGGAACAGAGTCTTGGATAATCTAAATGGTCATTGGAGTCCACATGTTCATTATGTCAATGCCCTTCGGCCAGAGACCGCCATGAACACACCTGTATTGAACAAGTTGGGTTTATTACTCATTTCAGCAAGCGAGAGCACACTCCATGAGTGTCTCGGTGAGATGTGTTGGAAAAGACTTAATGGATTTAGGCTCATGTTAGGCAATTTGGGGGAGGGTGTAGGAAAGCAGGATTTTGCTTGTGCCTTGGATGCTGTCAGGAAGCAGGGGTAACTCTGTCATAGGGTCTCTCAAATTTTGTCTATAGCCAGGCAAAAGCTATAATTAGTCAAGAGGCAGCAGTCATTCACATTTGCCAGGATAGGGAGATATTTGGTATTTTGGGCTTGAAAATGTTCACATTTTGTCTGTGTCCAGGCGTAATTACAGATTGGTCTTGATTGTATCTCCATCCTACCGATGAGTGTCCGGCCAGGTCCTGCTTTCTCCTCAGTTATACCAAAGATGCTTCCAACGCACATGTGTGAATAAGTGCTGATGTACTTAGACTAAACAAGGAAATGGCACTCTCATTTCAGTAACTGCTATAGAAATTGCTGTGTGTAGGGTCCAGAAGCAAAGATTCCAACATGCACTGCCATAATGCGATCTTTATGGCTAGCTCTCTCATCTGTATCATCAAGGGAGTTCTTTCAGTGAAAGACAAAGATCATTCTCTGAGGATGCTATGGTCATTTCTAGTTGGAGCTCCCTGCTTTTCATTCAATCCTATACTAATAAAAGACAAACATGCAAATTGACTGTACTTTCGCTACGCCTAAGCCACGCCCACCAGCCAATCAGAGCGACTATATGCAAATTAACCCAACCAAGATGGCAGCCGGCAGCCACGGAGCTGGAGCGAGCAGGAGGCTTGCTTGCCCCAGTGATGGAGGAAGCCAAGCTTCCCCGCCTGCCGCGGCCTGACTCTGAGCTCCACTGAAAGCAACAAAGTTTCAATTATAGAAGGTAAATAAATTCCAGAATAAAAAAAAAAAGAAAAAAAGGAGAGGTTGGGAGCCTCAGTTGCCCGCCAGCCTGAAAACAGCCATCATCCCCTCACCCAGACTGGCCAGGCACCCCAGTGGGGACCCCCACCCTGAAGCAACAAGATGGCGGCTAGTTTGCATACTGAAGGCAGGCGGCAGCGGGAAAGGCTGTCCGCGGTCCGGGTCCTGGATCTGTGACCCTGCTGGGCTGGGGGGGAGTGCTTGAGGCTGTCCGCGGTCTGGGACTCGGATCTGTGACCCTGCCGGGCGGGGGGCAGTGTTTGAGGCTGTCTGCGGTCCCGGGACCCGGATCTGTGACCCTGCC